GATTAAGGGCATTTTGTGCATAAAAGAGCTCAAATAACTATAATATTGTTTGAGTTATATAGGTAATTAAACCCTTAATTAAGGTCAAATGAGTTTTTCCTTTATTTTAATTACATATATCGTATAACATATCTATGTAACACCTATGTGTTAAAAGTAGAGTATTTGTTATCTATGACAAAGGACTTGATAATAATTAAGTCAAAGGAGTGGGACTATTTTCGTAAATAAATCGATATAGAAGAAGGGTAAATTGACTATATCTACCCTATCGGTGTAGCATGGTAGCGTGTATTGTGTTGGTTACGAGTCATCATTACGAATTTGAAACAGTCTCGATTATGGCGTCAATTCATGGTGTTTGAGGAGTGAAATAATTTCATTGGTATTATCAAGAAACGTATATTTTTTTCCTGGGGTTCTTTGTTTGTTTGCAAGCGACAGAGAAGGGTGAGGAACGTCGAGATATTGAAGTGATTGGTGTTCGAGTACTGACGGCGAAAGGGTTCGCAAGTACTTCCAATTGCATTATTTGAACGACTTGGCAAACCATCTTGAGTCCGAGGAATTGAAAAAAATTAAGCAGTCGTGATACAAGATTGGAATCACTCCAAACTTTAGATCATTTAATGATCAAGAGATTCCAAGCTTAGCTTGCGGAAGGTGGAATTCACGAGTTGGCCAGAAGCGCTTTCTCGTGATTCAAGGGGTGGTACATGGGATAGTTTAGGAGATTGACTCGCTAAATCGGTGGGATAATCGCCTCACTCGATAAATGGACAAATGAAGGTTGTTGAATCACACAACAAACTCAATCCGCAGGTTTCGAGGTAGTGGTTGTGGTCAAGTTCGTGTGCGTGGTCGCGGTAGGGGCGGGGTAGAGCCTCCGGGTGCGACGAGAGCATGGGCTAGAGTACCATAGTAGAATTTTTTTGTGTATCGCAGACGTATAAGAAGGGACCGCTGGGTGAGGCTAGTGTGAGAGCCGAGGGGTTTAGGTTTGGCCGGAGGGGTGCTGATTTGGCTGGGAATCCGGTTGGGGTTGTTCCAGCAGGTAGAGATCAAGGTCGAGATGATCGTCTAGAGAATTTGCTAGCATAGTTGCTGGTTCAGTAATACACAGGAGACAGTTGGACATGTGGGGGTCAAGCAGATTAGATTCGTTCACAAGTTTTTCGATTGAGTTGGAATCGGGGAAGATGTCGTTGTCTAAGGTACCCTACCAGATGGCTCCAGCAGAGACCGCAGAGATGAAGATGCACATGGAAGAGTTGTTGGATAAGGGTTTTATCCAGGCAAGTACTTCACCGTTGGGAGCATCGGTGTTGTCTGTGAAGAAGAAGGACGGTAGTTTTGGTTGTATACCGACTACCGAGGGTTAAACCGGTCACTGTGAAGAATTAGTACCTTGTGCCGTGGATTGATGAGTTGTTAGATAAATTGAGGGGGCTACTTCGTTCTCCAAGAATGACTTGATGTCGGGTTATTATCAGATCCCGATAGATTAGGTGGATGTTTGAAAAATGGTGTTTCGGATGAGGAATGGACACTACAAGGTTGTGGTCATGCTATTCAGATTGATGAATGCACTAGCGACGTTCATGAAATTGATTAATAGTGTGTTTCAGGTGTATCCGTACGAGTTCATGATCATCCTCATCAACGATATTTTGGTGTATTCGAAGATTGCTGATGAGCACGAGGTTCATTTGCAGACCATGTTGGAAGAGGTGCGGGAGCAGAATCTTTGAGCAGGTGCATTTTCTGGAAGGACAAAGTTGGGTCTGAGACCGACGAATGCTACCGATATCCAGAATTTTCTCGGGTTAGCCGGTTATTACTGGAAGTTCGTGAAGGGTTTCGCAAGTATGGCTCAAGCGATGACTAAGTTAATAGGGAAGGATGTTCGTTTTGTGTAGTCACAAGAGTGTGAGCGGAGTGTCGCAGACCCGAAGGTCATGTTAACCACTACTCCAATGTTGGTGTTACCAAGTTGGGTGAACAATATGTGGTGTTGATGCAGCAGGGTAAGGCGATAGCCTATGCTTCGAGGAAGTTGAGGAAGCATGATGGCATTTATCCTACCCATGACTTGGAGATGGTTGTGGTGGTCTTGCCTTGAAGATTTGGAGATCTTATCGTTACGGCGGGAAAGTCTAGGGGATGATGGATCATCGGAGAGTGTAGTACATCTTCACTTAACTGAAATTGAATCAGAGGCAGAGACGTTGGATGGAAATAGTGGCGGACTATGATATGGAGATGGCTTACCATCCTAGTAAGGCTAACTTGGTTGTAGTTGCCTAGAGTAGGAAGCATGCAAATTTAGCTCAAGAGTAGAATATGGAGACCTTTGTGAGTGAAATTAGTGCTTTGGGGTGTTTCAGAACACACATTAGGGTTAAAGGCAGCAAACCAGGCGGATCTTATGGCCAATGCTCGAGTTGCTCAAGAGAAGGATGAGCATCTGATTATTGCATCAAATGATATAGAGTCAAAGTATCAGATCTTAGCGAGATGGACAATTCTTGAGAGTTTAAGGCATAATAGTTTAAATTAGGCTCATGCTAATATGATTTCGATTAATCTGGAGTTACTATATGTACCGGAGCCTCAAGCGGTATTATCATTGGGTCGAGATGAAGAAGGATGTTGCTAACAGGGTCGTAGAGTGCCAGTTAGTGAATGCAACGCATCAAATACCGGGCGGTTTGTTGTAGAGTTTCCCCATTCCGGAGTGGAAGTGGGATATAGTCACGATGGATTTCGTGGTACGATTGCTGGTTTCTCTATTTAAAAGATGCTATTTGGGCCATTCTATACCAGACGACTAAGTGTACAAATTTCCTAGCCATTAAGAAAATCGACGGAGCGAAAGTTTTGGCTAAAAAGTATGTACATGAGATAGTGAAACAGAAGGAGATGGGCACGAATATGCATTTGAGTACATTGTATCATCCTCAGACATATGTTCAATCTGAGAAGATTATTTAGACACTCGAGGATTTATTGAGGATGTGTGTAGTGGATTGGGATGGTCATTGGGTGATTCACTTGGAATTGGTCGATTTGCTTACAACAATAGCTACCAGGTGAGTATTGGGATGGCTACTTATGAGGCGTTGTATTGGAGGCCATGTCGTACACCTCTAGGATCGGCAGAAGAGTTATGCTGATAAGTGGCGCAAGGAGTTTGATTTTGAGGTGGGAGATAGAGTGTATCTCAAGATAGCGATGTTGCATAGTCCTAACAGATCCCTTATTGAGACTAAGCTGAGTCTGAGGTATATGGGTCATTTCAAGATATGGAGCAGGTGGGACGGGTGGCGTATCAGTTAGAGTTGCTTGCGGTTAGGCAGGCATTTCACAAGGTCTTTCATGTGTCGATGCTGAAGAAGTGTTTGCATAAGGATGATGAGGTGTTGGCGAAGATTCCTGCGGATCTTCAGCCCAACATGACTCTATAGGCGAGATCGGTGACGGTTCTCAAGAGGCGGATAAAGGAACTTTGGTGTAAGGAGATTCCTTTGATGAGAGTCCAGTGGAAATGTGATGGAGTCTTGGAGGAGACTTGGGAGCTAGAGGCCAAGATGAAGGCAAGGCTCCAAAAGTGGTTTGACAAACAGTTCGCGGTTTAGACCTTCTGTTTTTGTTTCTTCTCCATGTTAGAGTTGAGTTTTGGTTTTGGATGTAACACCTTTGAATTTTTGTTTGGTTGTAACGATTATGACTTTGCAGTTTAATAAAATGAGTATTTCTTGGAGTTATATCTAATCTAGAGTTATGCTCGAGGGCGTTTAGACTTATTTGCTCGGATGATATGTGATTGCCTCGGATGATAATTCTAGAGCACGCTTTAGGGTGATGACCCGAGAGCAAGGGTGACTCCCTGGATACTGTAGCTTGAAAGTTGTGGGCCTGATAGCGAGCTGATATGACTTGAAGGTTGTGACCTAAGAGCGAGGGGAGTAGTGAGACTTCCTGGATAGCGAAGTCAAAAGGTTGAGGCCTGATGACGAGCCGGTATGATTCATAGGTTGAGACATGTGGACGGGGAAGTGATCAAGTATGAGCAAATAGGTTATGGAACGTGAGTATATTAATTCCTTAAAGCTCTCGGATGGGTCAGTAGTAGGAGTGTGGGCTATGATGATGGTTGCACGTCCTATACTGATGGATGGTGATGGAGGATTCGGGGACGAATCCATCTTAGTGGGAGAGAATTGTAACGCCCGTGTTCTGGAAAATAATATAAGACTTGAGTTTGTATAAGAATAGGAGTGGAGTCGGTTTAACTCCGGTTGATATACTAAGCTGGTCGATTTGTTAATTGAACCAACGGAGGTTTAATTAATGTCGGTTTAGGTACATCCTGGTTTAATCGGCTTCTCTTATATGTAGATTTATTGGAAATATTACAATTTATAGAGTGAGAGCATAGAAACCCTAGTATTTATAGTAGTAAACGCCACTTTTTTTCTAGGGTTTCAACTTAGTAGGTATTTTTTAAGCGGAATTTTTGACATATGCCCATTTCCTCTAAACCCTAAATTTGAAACATTATATGTCATTTAAAAAAAAATTCCGGCTTTATTTATAAAATTCAAATTTTAGGTTAGATATTTCTAATTTTTATCGTTAGGTTTTGATTAAATAAGAACTAACCAAAATTTTTAAGCCAGTGGTAATTTTCATTAATGGTAAAATGGTAATCCGGGCTGCGCTAAATCTTCGATTTTGTCTTCAAAACACTCGATTTTAATTGTTTTTTAATTAAATAAGGATTAAGAAAAAAATTATAACCTAGAGGTATTTTTCCATTAAGGGTAACTTAGTTATTTTTTTCTGAGAGCGAACGTGAGCCTTTTGACTACTCGTTTAATCGAGACTATTTTGTTAAAAAATATAAACTATGAACATAAAATAAAATTTTATTCATAGATGTTATGAAAAAATGGAAAATAAATATAGCGATTCTCTTAATCATAGATGTTGTCTACTTATGCGGGTAGACCTCCTTGGATTCCTAAGAAAATAAGATATGAAAACAAAGCTATATCACTCACATAACAAAGGTTACCTATAATATTTGTAGATGTAAATAAACTTAAATTGCTACGAAGTTGTCGATCTCGCAAATTTTTGGATTGCGTCTTATTTGGGTACAAATGGTGTTATACACAGTTCTTTTTCCTATAATAAGAATAACAATCTTTTAATATATTAAATAACAAATATACAAAACTATCTTTGATAAAACATGTTAGCTAAAGAATAATCTCATGAACATGTACCTTGGAAAACGTCTACCACTCCCCATCGAATCACACCAATCAGACATTGGTTTTGTAAAGCTTTGTAGGCCTTAAAGAAGTTAACGGCCGATGATCCAGTCAACTCACATCCTAAAATTACTCCACTATATTGGCAAGAGCAAGAATAAACATTAGGTATGTATAATCATACCAAATATATTTGTAATGAAAATGAACTATAATAAATATTTGCATAGTTAGAAAAAAATACCAAGTGTTTCGAAGATCAAAAGAAATCTTATGGTGTATTGAATATTTTTTTTTGTCATCGGCCTCTTCGTCGACATTTTGATTACCAATATCCTCTTCTTCTTGGTCATCATATTCATTAGATTCACTTGCATTATATTCCTCCTCATCATCTGTTTCTTCTTGTGTATCATCATAACCAAGATTTTTTTCGTCGCTATCACTATCATCATTTCCTTCAGTTTCAGTTTCAGTTTCATCGTTTTCATGATCTTCTTCTTCACTATTACTACTGTCGCCGTATCCATCACTCTCATATTCGTCGTCTTTCGTATCCATTATCTCATAAAAACCTTCATCTTCTTCATCATCTGCTTTTTCAGCTTGCTCATAGTCCTCATCCATTGCATCTTCTTCGTCATCAATATCATCACTGTGAATACTATCGTCGTTTGAAGTGCATCTCTTGTCAGACAGTTCATCTCGGCAAATAAACTTAAAGAGATGACGAATATAAACGGAGCTTGATTTAGACTCAGCTTGAACGTTATTTTTCTGTTCATTGTCGTTCTCTAAATGGTCCCAAGTATCAAACTTTCCTACGTGTATAACCTCTCCAATGATATCTACAAAAATAAAAAGTAATCAGTCTGAATGCAAATCCTAATGTAAAATAATATAGGAAGCAGACACAAATCATAGTCTTAGTTAATCTTAAAACATAATGTTGAAATAACTTACCGACCAAATAATCATCACAATGAGAACCATCAAATATATGTTTTTAATCGAAAAAATCAAAATACTCTCCACCTCCAACAATCAAAGCTTTCTTAATCATGGTTTGACACAAAATAATAACTTTGTATCGATGAGTAGTAGTTTGCAACACCCATATTGATCCACGACTTTGAAATTCTCGATTTCAAACTAATCACCAACAACATACTTGGAAATAAATCTATCATATAGAATACCACAGAAGGAACAATGGACCTTTTCACCCTACAAAAGTTGATATACTGGTTAAGAAAGATTATAGTATGTAATCGTAATATTTAAGATTTCTTAGTTTTATTCAAAATAATTTTTAAAAACGCATGTTATTTAGAAAATAATCAAACCTGAATACCAACTAACACCATCTTCAAACTTGGTCCAAGTTTTAAACAATTCTCCTCCCATAAGCATAACACTTTCACCTGAATTTTCAAGTCATATTTCGAAGGATTCAAACGTGACACACCACCAACAGGATGATTCTTCACCATAATGAATCCTGAATAACCATAGAAACAAATTAGTTTAGCTATTGAAACTATGAACAAAAGAATTTTTTTATTAAAAATTTGAGTAATGAAACTAAAATCTAACTTTAGTAAATCGTCCGAAGTATGAAAGTTTGGACAATGAATGGTCAAATATATATACACATATACTCGTTATATATAATTATCGTTATGAATAATGTCCTTTATTAATATGGACATTTATCTTTAACTTATATAAATCTTTTATTTTTTTATAATCTGCTCGTCCTATATTTATTATTATAAATATGTAAAATTTATATTTATCTTAGTTTAAACTTTTTAAAAACGATTAAGATAATTTCAAACTGTGTATAAATAAATAAGCAAACATATAGTATATGTAATACGTATTATTGTGAATTTTTCTATATTGAACTACTAATTGTTAGGTTTTGATGAAATAAGAGCTCACCAAAACTTTTAAGTCAGGGGTATTTTTTCATTAAGGATAAAACGGTAACCCGGTCTCAGCTAAATTTTCGATTTTGTCTTGCAAAGATTTTTTTTTTAGTTAATTAAGGATTAAGGAAAAGATTACAATTAGTGGTATTTTTCATTAAGGGTAACTTAGAAATATTTTTGTGAGATTGAATGTGAGCACTTTCGACTACTCCTTTAATAATATACTATGCTTCAGATTTAATTTAATTAGTAATATAGAAACCAAATTTTATTAAACTTGAAATTTTAGACGCTAATAGGTAAAAAAACAGCTCAACATTATTTTTACCGAAAAATTGAAGATGCATCATAAAACATAAAAATACAATTATAAGGATCAACAAATCCGAATGAATTCTAGGTTTTTTTTCTTTTTTTTTGGGACCTTTGCTTCCACTGATTATCTTGAGTACGCCAAACAAAGCCTCTTGAAAATTCTTCATATTTGTACTTCCTTGGATCAACATCTATTGAATTGATTTCCATCCAACTTTGGAATTTAGATCTTGAATTTGTATATAGCAATGTAACATCTTCTCTAACATCCTCTACAACAAAATAACAATATAAAAACTAAATAAGAAATTTTACTGAATAATCAATCTAAAATTTAAACAAAACATAATATACCTAATCCAAAAGGTGATGTAACCATAGACAAAACTGCAGTATTCTTTGACATTGCCTTCCAAACAACCACTACACAAAAAGGAAGAACAAAGATAAGTACCAAAACATAATTCTACGAACATGATAGAAAACTAAAGATTGACCTTTTTTTTAGTTGTGGAGAGAGCATAGAAACCCTAGTATTTATAGAAGTAAACGACACTTTGTTTTAGGGTTTCAACTTAGGAGGTGTTTTTTTAACGGGCTTTTTTACGTAAGTCTGTTTCCTCTAAACCCGAAATTTAAAACATTGTATGTCGTTGTTTAATGAAATTTTCGGTTTTAGTTATAGAAGTTCCGATTTTAGGTTAAAAGTTTTTATTTTATTGTTAGGTTTTGATTAAATAAGAGCTAACCAAAACTTTTAAGTCAGGGGTATTTTTTCATTAAGGGTAAAACGCTAACCCGGTCTCAGCTAAATTTTCGATTTTGTCTTGCAAAGAGCTGATTTTTTATTATTAATTAAAGATTAAGGAAAAGATTACAATTAGGGTATTTTTCATTAAGGGTAACTTATTAATATTTTTGTGAGATTGAATGTGAGCACTTTCGACTACTTCTTTAATAATATAGATTTTATGTTTAACGAAGAGGAAAATGAATAATGGAGTCTTCCAACTATGGAAGACGTAAAAAGGGTTGATTGAGTTCTGAAGATATAAAAACAAACCGGCAGTGGAGTTGATGTATTGGTCATGGTGGAAAAGTTAGCAGTGAAACTTTGACAAGCAAGCGGCAGCAAGGAAAATGTTTTCTGGCTATGAGTCAACGGTGATACAGCTAGAAGAATGGATAGGCAAAGAGGCAACTAAAGACTGTCTAGGGGTTTAAGAGAAGAAGAACAACAAATTGTCACGGAGAAGAAGAAAAAACTGAAGAGTCTCGATGAAGGTGATTCGGGTTATACAAAATTAGTGGCTTTAAACAATTAAAATTTGGGCTAAATCGTTGGTACACTAGCCCATTAGGGACTTAAGACCATCATTAATAGCAAGCTCTTAGACATAAATTTTCTTAAGAGAATATAAGATATTTTTATATAACTGATATCTTATATAAGATATTCTTTTAAGAAATTTAAGTCTAAGAGCTTGCCACTAAGGATGCCCTAACAAAATAAACAAATGGGCTAAATCATTTTTAAAACAAATTATAATCACGAGACATATCATATAAAAGTCAATGGTATCTTAAATTAAAAAAATAATTAAGATGTGGTTATTTCTTTGTTAAGTTCAAAAAAAAAATTTGAATTTAATGGACAAATGTTTTTTTCAAGTGAATTTAATACTTCATATATTACAAAACAATACACAGAAAATCTGATTCTAACATACACTTTATTACATCCAATAAATTATTAGAAAATAAAAAGTTTGCATTTCACTAATCAAAATCAGATGAATATTCAGATAATGATGCTGAATTGATATATTCCTCAAATTTTTCCAACTCAGCATCAGAAGTTCTAATACCTCATCAAGTGCATTCTCTTCATTGATTTTTTTTTTTTTTTTTTTTTGTAAACCACATTCTCTTCATTGATCAAAGGTATATTTTCCATGGAAGTATCACTATGAATTGTAATCTCTCGCCGCTTTTCTTTCTCGTTTCTTCCGGCCGCTTATCCTATTATCAGTGTGTCTCTCTCTTTCTCGTCGTTATTGTTGTCGCATTTCTTCTCAACTTAGATGGAGACTTTTCGTTTTCTGACAAAAATAACAGGGAAATACGAAACGTCGTTTACGGCTGAGTTATGGTACATTACGGCTCAGTTATGACACATTGCGGCTGAGTTGTGGTTTTTTTTGTAATTTTTCACACACATGAAAAAATATTTCTACCTCGGCGATTCCGGCGAAGAACCCTAATTCTCGCCGCTTCTCTCTCTCTCGTCTCTTTTGGCCGCTTCGATTCTCAACGAGTCTCTCTCTTGTCATCATTCCTATGTTCTAAGGAAAGAAAAGAGTTCTTGGTCCTCACATGAGGTTCTGTTCATGGTGAGAGTTGCTTTGAAGATGACAATAATGAAGACGAAGAGAGTGAACGGTAAACTTATGGCACTAACTCGTAATCTCATTACTGTCTTGTTATTTTGCCACTATATCGAAATCTCATATCCCATTCTCGGATTTTGTTTCATTTGTTGCAAAAAGGTGTCTATGTCAGATCGGAATAGGCCAAGGAAAAGGCAGAAGACTAAAAAGAATAAGAAAAAAACTGTTTTTTTCTCTCTCGAAGCCGACGAAGAACCCTAACTCTCGCTGCTTATCTTTCTTGTCTCTTCTGGCCGATTATCCTATAATCGGTGTGTCTCTCTCTTTCTCGTCGTCATTGCTGTCGCATTTCTTCTCAACTTGGGTGGAGACTTTTCGTTTTACGACAAAAAAACAGGGAAATACGAAACGTCGTTTACGGTTGAGTTATGACACATTGCGGCTGAGTTATCGTACATTACGGCTGAGTTATATTATGACTTATTGTAAGTTACGGCTGAGTTGTGGTTTTTTTTTTGTAATTGTTCACGTACAGGAAAAAATATCTCTACCTCGGCGATTCCGGCGAAGAACCCTAATTCTCGCCGCCTCTCTCTCTCTCATCTCTTTCGTCCGCTTCGACTCATACCGACGAGTCTCTATCTCTCTCTCATCGTCATTGCAATCGCCTTTCGTTTCAACTCGGCTTGAGACTTTTCGTTTTCCGACGAAAAAACAAAAGGGACCATGAAACGTCGTTTTCAACTTTTTGTCTAAGTTATGCCGCATTGTGGCTTAGTTATGCTACATTACAGCTGAGTTATGGTACATTACGACTGAGTTATGATACATTACGGCTGAGTTATGATATACTTTCTCGAGATTACAAAACGTGTTTTTCGGGAAAGACCAACAATAATTACGTACACATATTCACACGCACACGCATAATAAAGTCATAGAGTATTATGTTTTAAAAAAATTATTCAAAATAATTCAAAATGTGAATTCAAATTTTATAAACAAAATATTCAAAATAATTTAAAGTTTTTTTGTCTAAATATAGAATAATACATCACGGCTGAGTTATGCTACATTGCGGCTGAGTTATGCTACATTGCGGATGAGTTGTGATATACATTCTCGAGATTACAAAAAGTGGTTTTTGGGAAAGATCAACAATAATTACGTACACATATTCACACGCATATGCATAATAAAGTCATAGAGTATTATGTTTTAAAAATATATTCAAAATAATTCAAAATTTGAATTCAAATTTTCCAAACAAAATAATTCATAGTTTTGTGTCTGAATTTAGAATAATACGTCACAGCTGAGTTATTTACTTTTCAAGGTTGACTAATGACTAAAACTTTAATTTAAAGGGACACTTGAATGTTAACATTAGCACTGGTTATAATAATGTAGAGATTAAATATATTATAATACAATTAACAAAAATCAATAACAGCTCTTTTACATTATATATTTAATCAACTGTGTAGGCATAGAACATAAGTATA